CCCGCCCCGCCTCGAGGCGGCGCCGCCTTAAAAGGGACGGGGCTAGGTGTGGGGCCCACCGCGGTGCTCGGCGCTGCGCAGCCCTCGGCAGGCGCGATGGCTGTCCCTGCGGCTGTAGCCCAGCCTCCGAGGAGCCCAGGCTCGTCCCCAGCTGGGACGTCTCTGCTGGCCACTGCATCAGCAGTAGGGCCACCCTGCCCGGCCACCAGCATCCCTACGCGGCCAGGAGCCAGGGTTGCTCAGGGTGCCGGTCCATAAAAAGGGACTGATCGCCCTGGCACCAGCTCACATCTGGGCCACAGCTGGCCCTGGGTACCAGAAGTGTCCTCTGGAGCCTCCTACGCCCCCTCGGCTCCCCTCTGGATGTTACTTTGCTCAGGACCATTTCAGGTGCGTTTCCTCCCCATGCAGAGCAACAGCCGTTTGTCCCGCGGGGTCTTTCCAAAACTGGCAGCCCCAGCACCTCCCACCAGAGCCTGGGGCACAGAGGTGTCTCTGTTAACGGCTCTCCCAACAAATGTTTCCGCAGCTGTTTTGCGTGACGCTGTATATCCAACCCCCGCCAAATGTGCTGGGCCACTGGGAATAAAGCACGTTGCTGGTGTAAATCCATTTCCCACTGGCAAGGGGGGTCACAAATGGCTTCAAAATGGAGTATTTAGACCAAAAAAATGCTCAGGGTGCACAGTCAGGTTTGCGGTGGAGTGACAAGGGAGCAAAGGCTCAGACAGTGGCTTCAGGATCTGGGACCCACCTTGCCCCTGGGTGACACTCTCTGATGGCAGTTTTCCTCCAGGAGGGATTTAGCAGGAATTGCCCCATCACAGCCTCAAAGCCATGGACCAAACTGTCCAGAGACACCACCCAGTAGCATCTACTAGAGCACCCTATAGCCGCCGTGCCATGGGCCACCTGGGGCAGGCAGCTGCATCCTAGAGCACACCCAGGGTGGGGGTGATCCAGGTCTTTCCACACTTTCCTTTACAGGAGTCCCCTGTGCACAAGCAGGTCCTACCAAGAGACACCCTGGGAAGGAGCTGGAGTGATTGGTACCGGCTGTCTTCGGGTTGGTTTTGGATTTGGGATCCCCCATCCCGTTTCCCTGCCTCCTCCTGTCTCCTCTTGCTTCATGCTTCAGTCAGACATCGGGGAACACCTCTACCTGCCGTCTGCATTACGCCCAGCACACCACAGTCCCAAAGTGCTGCCCCAGGACAAATAATAACAAATAATAACAGCGTCATACCCCAGCACACCCCATCACACTGATGGGGCTGCAGCTGGTGTGCAGTGCCCAGGCTGGCTCAGGACGCCTCGCTCGCCTCTTATTTCTGGGTGAGGCTCCCACAGCCTCTTTGCCACCATAAAACCTATTTCTGGGTCCAGCCGGCTGATCTCTGTCTGCACAGGAAAGCCCACAGCTGAGCCACGCCAGGAGAGGGGCTCACCCTATATCTCCCCCCAGCCACCCCCCGCCATCCCTGCACACCCAGCCTACAGCTCCCCGGGGCTTGAGTGCCAATCCTGCAAAGGGAGCGGTTTGCCATGTAATTCCTCTGCCAGGCCTCGAAGCCCGCGGGCTGTACGTCTCCTCTGGGGTTTTACAAGCCGCCTGGCAGCCAGGACCGGTGGGAGCTGGGCAGGGCGGCATGGGATGCGTCAGAGCTGCTGTCGGCCAGCCGAGCCCACACCGAGGCAAACCTCTCCTCGAAAAGTCAGTGCAAAACTATTCGTGACTCTCGCTTCTTCATAAAGACAAGCAGTACCAGGCAGCCCCCAGTGACAGCCACTGTCCCCACCTCGGGCAGGGCAAGGCTCTTCTGCAGGGGCTGCTCGGGGCCCCCCCATACCCTCTGCTGCGGGTGAGCTGAGGAAGCTGTCTGGTATTTAGCAGGATTTAAAAGTGGAAGGTGGATGGGATGGGGCTGAGCCAAGCTGAGAGATGCGTCCTGCTCTCAGCTGGGAATCCCGCTGCCCTAGGACCGGCACTGGCCCTGCTGATGTCACACTAGCATCTAGATGATGCCATCTCCCTGCCCAGCCTGGAGAAACCCCCTTGGCAAGGGAAGCCCCAAAGCCAGGCTGGGCATCACAACCCTTCCACAGCCCGCAGGAGCTGCCTCAGAGGGGGCTGTAGGCAGGGACTCCCTGCCCATGCACCTCCCAAACACCCTCCTGCCAGCGATGGATGGCTGGTGGGCACTGGCAGGAGCAAGCTGCAGAAAGCCTGTGCGCACTTTGGGCTCTCTTCCACCAAGATCCAGCCCTCTGTGGGTGCCCCAGCCCGTGCCGAGGGGCCACAGAGGTGGTTTTTAGCTGAGTCCTGGTGTCCATACCTCAGCCTCCCAAGCCTCGGTTTCCCAGCCACTGCTGGGCCATCGTTCCCCTCCGCTGGTGGTCTTGCTTTGGCAGCCCTTAGCCCTGCCCTGGGGAGACCATGGCCCCCACCAGCCTCCCTGGTAAAGTGTCAGCATCCCTGCTGAGGCCCCCATTAGCACTAACTGGGCTGCGGGTACCCACCCACAAAGGGCCAGCAGAGCATCGCCCCACACCCTGCAGAGCCCGGACGCTCGGGCACTTGTCACCAGGGTCTGGCATTGAAGTGGCATCACCGGGTGCAGAGGGACCTCATCCCGGGGGAGCAGGGGTGTGCCGGCTGGTCCGCAGAGCCGAGGTGCCTTCGTCACTGCGGGCAGGGGACGAGCAGGGCTGTGTCTGGCAGCTGGCATTGAGGACCTGCCTCTGCTTTCCCAGGCAGACTCAAGTGATGTTTAACCAGCTCACAGACGTACAGAAACTCTGTTTGCTATTTAGGGCTGTGGATCCTACTAAGCTGATGGGAGAGGGAGGGTGTTCCGCAGATTTACAGAGCGGTTGGCTGTTAAAGTGACAGCTTTCCTGCCTGCCACCACCCCATCCCCAGGATGATCCTGAGGGCTCCAGCACCCAGCCCTGCACCTTCCCCAGAAGCCTTGAGCCCTCTGAAAGTAGTACAAAGTGATGTGCTTCTTGGGTCATTTATAACTCAATTAATGAGCCAGAGAGAAGCCATCACTGCCCTTCTGTCCCTCTTCCATATAAGCCCAGTGAGGTGGCTTAGGGCAATGGAGAAAGCTCCCTCCATCCTGCTCCATGTGATTAATGTGTTGAAGGCTTTCGTGGAAATTTTAAGACTGGGTTTAAGGATTTAAGGAGCATGGAGTGTGGCAATAGCCTGGTTTGCAGCACTAAATCTGTCTGCTTGTGGTCATCCCCCGTTCCTGGCTGGGGTGGAGGAGGGAAACAACCCCATGGAGGAGGCACGACACAGAGATCCCCACAGCTGGTCACCCCCTGCCCCAGCCCAGGGCATGCTGCCACCATGTACCGCTTGTGCCTGGCCATCCCATGCACGTCCTCGCTGCGGTGTCACACTCGTCCATTCCACACTGTCACCTGCCTGCTCTGGCATCCTCGCAGCCCGGTACCTGCTGGGGGAAGATGCACATGTGTGTGCACAGTGCATCTGCAGGGGAAACCTCCTGTCCTCTACGATTAATAAAAAGGGACCAGGAGCCAGGTGTGCAGCCTGGTCCCCACAGCACACAAAGCAGGTTCCCTGCCCCAACCACCCAAGCACTGGGATCCAGCAACACCCACGTCCGACACTGCAGCTGGGACAGTGTGCTGGATGTAGATGCTGGTGATGCCCTTGTTGGACCCTTGGGAGAGCTTTGCCCCTGTGCAATGGATGCGCAACTGGGGCTCCTCTTGGAGCAAAAATGCTGGGCTTTCTCCCTTCCTCCTCAAGCCTAAAGCATGGGGCAAAGCAGATAGTGAGGGCTGGCCAAGGGAGACTGCATGGGGGGGTGATGGAGGGGAGCTCCACTTTGTCCCGGGGCAAATCCAGGGTGGAACGACCCAATCTGAGGTTGAATGGCCAAACCCAGGGTTGCACAGCCAGCCGTGGGACTGGGATGATGCTCCAGGGCTTGGTGCCTCGGCCAGCCTCAGGGTGACGATGGGTGCCCGCAAGCACAGCAGTGGGTCCAGCGGCTGTGGGGCTGGAGCATGGGGAACCGGGCCGAGGACTGGTGCGGTTCCCTGCCTGGTGGGGCTTCTTTCTATGCAAATGCCTGGGAGCAGCTGCCCTGCCGGCGTGACTCATTTCCTGCTCTTGTGTCACATTCTGGTCAGGCCAGTTTGGCAAAGGCTTTCTTCTCTCCCTCTCTGGCTTCTCCTCCTTCTCTCCCCCACCGCCGAGGGCTGGGATGTGCATTCACTCAGCCCCTG